AAAGAGGTGAGCAAGGGCACTTTCGTGCCATCACGTTCTCTTTGTTTGCACGATCGCAGCTCTTCCTCGATACCTGCATTTTCCCCAGACTTCAATTCTGTATCTGGGCTTTTCCACGCACGCTTTCCTTTATTTCCTGAGACTTTTTCCCCCAGGAATGTGCTTGTTCCCCGCTACCTGAACCCGCAGGGCCGTCTGCCCTTCTGCTTGCTCAACAGCTTCACGTTATTTGCTCCATTGTTGTGCTTGGTCCTGTCAGATAATCTGTCCTACAGCACACAATCCTTCCTCCCCTTTCAACTGTCTCTTCTAATTCTCTTGAGCTGTAGGGCTTCTCCCTTCCTTCCCCCTTCTCTGGGAAGGGGGGCGGGGGGGAATATTCCAGTAGATCTCGCTATCTTACGTGAATGCTGGAATGATATAGCGATATGATATATACAGACAGATATGTACGGACTAAGATCTCAGCTTAAAGTGTGTCTGTACGCAGGTGCTGGCCAGCTCTGCATTTTGTCTGCTTTTAATTAACTGTCGTTGCAGGGGATCAACTCTGCCTCCTCCTCATTGCTCGTTTCTAAAAGCAAATTTCTGCGTTCTAAAATTACATAGGAACGTGTGAATGATTTCAGCATCGCTTTCATCTATGGCCAGACTAGCAGCAGCAGCTGAAATCCTTAGGTGATTTGAGGTAGCAAGGGCTCAAATGAAGAAGGGCTCCTTCTTCACCTGTTCAATGTCACCATCGCTACATAAAGCATCTCACAATGTGGACTGTGCCTGTGCGCGCAAAGGTGTTCGCCGCACCTAGAAGATTCGGCCCTGGGCCATCGGGAAATAACCCGCCGGGGCCGCCTTTAATGCGCTTGATCTAAAATGGGCATCTAGGGCTTAAAGGCCTGTGTCTTACAGTCCTTAAGTCCCGTGTGTTCTGGCATTTCACGGAGTCAGCCCCCTGCTTCCGAGTGCCCTCAGACATCATACACGCATGTGTGCGTCTATACAGAGAGAGAGGTATATGTGTGTGTATATATGTACCTATATATACATATATATTCTGCAGTGCCTGACAGCATCAAAGCTCTGCTGCTGCTAGTGTTTCCCCTGATTATACACCGAAGCAGCTGTAGACTGGTGGTGCGCAAACTTTTGGCATAGGCAAGAGGCAGGATAAAGAAAATCCGCTAGAAATGCCGAAATAGTGAACAAGGATCTGATTTATGCTATTTATTTTCGTATTTAACTCGGCAGCGCTCTCCATTGGAACAGTACCGTTGCCATGGACGGAGCATCGTGTCTACTAAAGCAGAGATTGGCATAGTTTAAGGAATACGTGAGAAGAGTTATGTCCGGATGCTAGTGCACTACTTGGTAAGTTGAGCGTGAGTAGGATGCGTATCGCATCCCCGGCAGCAAGCAACCATTACCCTGTGTCTTTTTCTATCCAGTTAATGCAGCCTAAGGAGAAAGAGCCTCATCCGAAAGCACCTTTTTTGCCTTCTGAGAGTTGGCCAGCACGTCCTAGATTGCAGGTACGAAACATACGGGTCTGAGCCTGGAGCGCCCCTCTGGGGCATTTGCGTGGTGATAGCGAAGAGGCTCCCCTATAAATAAAGGGAATCTAAGCAGCGTCTGAAGAGATGTGAAGGAGGGGAGGGAGGGAGGGGGAGGTGAGTTAGTTTAACCCTCCGCTTCCCGCAGAAAAGTCAAGCGGTTTCCACGCAGCGCCGTAGAGAGACGCCGAGGAGAGGTAAGCGCGCAGTGACGGCGACGCGCCTTTCCCTCACCGCCGCCGCGGCCGTTAGCGAGCGGCGCG